ATTTTTTAGTCATCTCCAGTTTTTTAAAGTTTTTTCGGCCAAAGAGAGGTCGAATCGAAATAAAAAGTATATATTCGTGATCAGCTTTTGAAGGGCTTTCAAACCATATATAAACGAACGAGAAAAAAAATTCACTCCAGTTTTGCATTACCGGCACCTTACTCTTAAATCTTTCTCTTCTCTTCTGGTTTCTTCGCGTTTGTAAGAAAAAGAGAATATTAATTTTATGTTTTAAGAGAAAAGATTGTATTGTGTATATATTTAATTGTAGGTCGGTTTTTAGTATATTAGAAAAATTTGATGAAGCAACACGAAAACAATGGTTCCAATTTTTAAAAGGAGAATTAACAAAATTAAATTTGTTTGACAAGCCGGCTCAGATTTTTAATTGTGACGAAACAGGTTTTGCTGACAAAACAAAAGGAGAATGGGTTATCGTTAATTCAAGTGTTCGACATCAGTTTGAGTTGAATGGGGGTAAAAAGTTTTTACTTGATTTTTATGTTTTGATCAAAATAAAATTAAGGGCGCACTTTTTCTGTTTTTGTTGTCTGTCCACGTTTGAGTTTTTTAGGGACTGGCAAAAATTATACAACAGCGTTGATTGCTGTTAGTGCCGCTGGTCAGCTCCTACCACCTTTTATTATTTATGCCGGAAAACATATAATGAGCAGCTGGTGCACTGGTGGTCCAGATGGCACCCATTATGCTGTTACACCAAAAGGATGGATTGATGCTGAACGATATGAATACTGGTTCGAACAAGTTTTTATCGCTTCGACAGCACACATCAATCGGCCGTTATTGTTGATAGTCGACGGACATACAGTTCATATAAGTTTAAAATTAATCGAGCTCATGAGTAAATAGCTTCTGTAATGAGCCATTTCTTTTTCTATGAAAATCCCTTAAATCTTGCTATAATCAATATTTTTCATGTGAGTTTTGTAGTGTATGTCCTATTTTTAATATTTCAGAGAAAAATGAAATTATTTCTCTAATGTTACCATCTCACACAACACACGCACTACAACCGTTGGATGTAGTGCTATTTAATAATGTTAAAACCGATTGGAGAGCCATCGTGTCAAATTTTTTAAAAGAATCGAAGTATAAAAAGTATAACAATGCAGCTATTCCTGGATTAATGAAAAGATATTTAGAGATATTATCTCTAGCTTTGTAAAACGAGAACTAATCCGATACGCAAATATGTAAAACGGAAATGTATACCTCGATCGGGAACTGAACCTGCGTGCCTCTAATAACCGATCAAAAGCTGCTGAGCATATCAGCTTGTCTCTTTTCTAGTGTGTAAACAAGTTCAACTTCAAGTTTCAATTGAAAGTCCTGTTTTATGATTCATCTGCTAAACATTTAAAAGTGAACGGATAACTGCTTATTTTTCAAACATCAAAAATAAAAGATAAAAGCCTTATGCTTAAGGGGGGGTGTCCCCCACCCGTTTCTTTTCACTAGTTTGTAGAGGACACTTCGAAGTATACGTCTCAACAAAGGTTTCAGTTCCCGGATTTGTAGTTTTTGATAAAAAATATTTTGAAGTTTTTTTCGGGTTTTCTGCCCTATTTTTAAAATTCAATAAAAACTTCAGCTTTTTATATAAAGAGTTGATTCTGGCGTAGTTCGATAGAGAACATTAATTTGTTTAAGGAGAAAAGCTTCACATCGTTCCCGAATGAAGTTTGACGCAGAAATTTAACTTTCACCTTCCCGAGGAAATTTTGGAGCTAAAAGTATTTTGAAAAAAGCCTTACGGCTAATTTCGCTCGAAGCAAGCATTTTGAAGCAAAACTCTGGATACGACAGTTGTTCAGGATCGAATTCCGGAGTCCTCACGAGAGCATTTTCTAAAATTTTATTTTTTTTGCTTTTTAAATTGAAAAATACGAAATTTTAAAATTCTAAAAATAGTAAAATTTAATTTAAAAAGCAAAAAAAGAAAATTTTAAAAGAAGCTCTCGTGAGGGACTCAATTCGATCCTGAACAACTTTTGCATTCAGAGTTTTGCTTCAAAATGCTTGCTTCGAGCGAAACTAGCCGTAAGGTGGGGTGAAAAAATCTTCGCTGAACCAAAAACCAGCGATATTTTCAAGTTTTGAATTTTTTCTTCAAGCCTTCTCGGTTTGTAGAGGATACTTCGAAGTATATATACTGAAGTTTTCTCAGCTTACTTACATTATTTAGCTGAGAAAAAAATTAATTACTTAAAATAATGTTGTTAAATTTTTGAGCACAGGGCTATTATTAAAAAATTTCCTGTCCATTCTTCATTCATCATGAAAACTTAGTTCTTGTCTAGATCGATAGAGAAATGTGTGGAGAATATTTACTACGAGAAAATATGTAAAAAGTTTTGTTCTTTCCTTCCTGTTATTGACTAATAAGAGAATTTCACGGGCTACAAGATAGACTGCCTTAAAAATTTTAGAATAGATTTTTGGCCGCTAGGTACGTCGACTTTACTGAGAAAAGTGGGAATTCTACTCCTAATTCGCAATTTTCCCCATCAGAACTCAACTTTGACACAATGAAAATATTATATTTGGAATCAGCGTCGGAAATCGAGTCGAATGATGTACTTTTCTTATCCTATTCGATCACTTTTATTGTTTCTGAAGTTTCACGCCGAATAATTACTAAGATTTTCATCAAAAAATGAAAATCAAGGAAAAATTTTGAAATATGTATCATTCGACTTGATTTTTAACACTGATTCCGAATATGATATTTTCATTGTGTAAAGTTGAGTTCTGATGGGGAAAATTGCGAATTAGGGGTAGAATTCCCACTTTTCTCAGTAAACTCGACGTACCGAGCGGCCAAAAATCTATTCTAAAATTTTTAAGGCAGTCTGTCTTGTAGCCCATGAAATTCTCTATCAGATGAGACATTCCTTGAATTTTTTTGTTGAGCTGTTGTTTTATAAATGGGACTTTAAGCTAGTAGAGTAAGCTAAATTAACGTTAATTAGTAGTAATTAGTCAATAATAGGAAGGAAAGAACAAAACTTTTTACATATTTTCTCGTAGAAAATATTCTCCACACATTTCTTCATCGATCTAGGCAAGAATCAAGCTTTTATGATGAATGGAGAATGGATAGGAACTTTTTTAATAATAGTCCCTTGTTCAAAAATTTAACAAAATTTTTTTAAGTAATTAATTTTTTTCTCAGCAAAATAATGTCAGCAAGCCGAAAAAACTTCAGTATATATACTTCGAAGTATCCTCTACACAGTAGGCATTTTTTGCTAGAGCAAGCGGACTTTAGCTTTATGAGTGAACTAAAATTTCATGAACCATCTTTTTATAGGTTTTTCATGATCCTCTTTCTAATGGGATGAGAGTTGGGTTTTAAAAAAGTTTTCTAAGAAGTTT